AAGGAGGGAGAAAAGGAAGGGAAAAAGGAGAAGAGCAGAGAGAGAAAAGAGGGAAGAAAGAAGAGAGGGAAGGAGAGAGGTAGGAAGGGAAGGAGGATGAGAGAGAGATAGAGACAGACAGAGAGACAGATGTAGACAGAAAGAGGGAGGGAGGAATGGAGGGAGAGAAAGAGGGAGAAAGGAGGAAGGACAAGAGAGAGAGGAGAATGAGAAAGAGGAGGGAAGGAAGGAGAGAGAAAAGGAGGGGAAAAGGGAGAAAAGCTGAGGGAGAAAGGGAGGAAAGAAGAGAGGGAAGGAGAGAGAGAAAGAGGAAGGGAGGGAGGATGAGAGAGAGACAGAGAGATAGAGATGTAGCCAAAAGGAGTGAGGGAGGGACAGAGAGAGAGAGAAAGGAGGAAGGAAAAGAGAGAGAGAGGAGGTGACCAAGTCAGGTGACTTGCCCTAGGTCTCATGGCTCACGAGTGGCCACACTGGGATTAGAACCTGGGTCAGGGTTGCCTTCATGAAGGAGGAGGGATCTGATCCAGCCCTTAAGAGGATGAGCAGGAGTGGTTAGACAGAGAGAAGGAGAGAGAGAAGGAGGGAAGAAAGAAGAGAGGGAAGGAAAGAGAAATAGAGAAAGAAGGAGGGAGGGAGGATGGGAGAGAGAGAGAGAGACAGAGAGTAGGCAGTACTAAGAGATTCCTTGGTACTAGTGGGGAATATCTTCCTTTTACTTCACAAAGATGGTGAGATTTTTAGACTAGAGAAGAGAGGAGGATGAGAATGGAGGAGGGGGAGAGGGAGAGAAATAATTGCTGTCTTCACATATTTGAGGACTAGCCTAGTTCTGCTCAGCCCTAGAGACCAGAACAGGGGGGACTTTGAGGATTTTTTGACTTGCTCTAAGGGGAAAATGTGGACTAGGAGGACTTAGGAAGTCATGAGTTTCCGTCTCCAGAGGTCGGCAAGAGAAGGCTGGGTTGCTTCTTGCTGGGAATGTTGTAGGGGGGATTTTTGCTCCGGGGCAGGTTTTTGTAGGCAGCCTCTGAAGAATCTTCCAATTCTGAAACTAATTCTCAGGCCTGTGTTATTTGTGAAGCACATGGCAGGGAAGGTGGCTAGGTGCTCCCCTACTCCATTGCTGTGGGAAACCTGGGTCAACCAAATCCCTTCTGTTTGTTGCTAGTCCAAACCTTGGTTTGCAATTAGAAAGACATAACCTTTTATGTGTCTGTCTATATTTGTATGTGATACAGGTGATGTGAGTTTTGGGGATGTCTGAGTGTGTATTCCTGTGCCTTTTTCTGTTTAAACTCGAGGTCTCTGAGGTCGGACAGTGCCCCTCTGTGTTTATGACAGCCAGTTTTCACACTCAAAAATTCCAGAGTTCTGGCTGGGACCCTGTTTAGAGATTAGAGGCAAGGGAAGCTCAGGGTTAGTCTTCCTATGAATCAACAGTATAAGTCAGTGATAGCTTTTGCTGAAGGTGCTGGGTGTGGGGGGATGGGGAATCTGACAGGATGACCCACTATGGGGGTAATGGGTGGGTAGTGCCATACTCTGGCTCCAAGGCCCACATCTGCTCTGCTTATTCCTTCCATAGTTTGTGGTCAACTGCAACTACATCCAGGGTGTGCCCACCATCACTTTTGTCATCAACGGGTCCCAGGTCCCTCTGCCTCCCTCTGCCTATGTCTTCAGTGTAAGTATACATCCCCGAGGCTTGTCAGGGATTAAGGAGGAGGGAGAGCCAAGGTAACCCTCTCTTTGCCCCAGATGACATCTCTGCAGCTCTGGGGAATCAGTCGGAGGAGACTGATTGAGGATAAACAAGGCCTCAGAGGTCTAGCTAGGGGAGCCATGGAATGGGGAAGTTATCCAGGAAAGGATCCGGGTTTCATTAATTCTTTCCCTTTTCTCGTTGTACAGAACAATGGCTACTACCGGCTGGGGATCAAGGCCACCTCTCTGCCCTCCACCAGTGGGCAGCCTCTGTGGATTCTAGGTGATGTCTTCCTCAAGGAATACTATTCTGTTTATGACATCGCCAACAACAGGGTTGGCTTTGCCTATTCTGCCTAGACTAGAGGCCGGCTAGCCTCCTTTCTCTCCGTCTCCTCTCAGGCTGCCTATGGAGACCGTCTGAAGTTTGCCCAGACCAGTCATGTTCCTCTCAATGGTTTTGAATGTAACGTTCTCTTACCTCATGTAATAAGATGTAAAACTTTCAATAACTTTGGCCTTTGAACAGGTCAGTTTACAGATTTAAATTCAGAAATATTTCTGAAATAAAGCCTTTCAGTTGTTCTAACTATGGGGTGATTTTTTTTTAAACCAGACTTATGATTTAATTGGTTTCTTCCAGGCGAGGAAACTCCCTCCACTGATGTGGATTGGCATCTGTTTTAAAACTTATACCATGTGACCTTGGGCAAGTCACTTACACTCTTTGGGTTTCAGTTTTCTCATCTGTAAAATGGGGGGACTTGGAGTAGATCAGAGGTTCTTAACCTCAGATCTATGAACTTTTAAAAAAAGTTTTGATAACTATTTTCCAATATAATTGGTTTTCTTTGTTATCCTATGTGTATTATTTTATGCATTTAAAAACATTTTGCTGAGGAATACATAGGCTTTGCCAGACAAAGGGTTCCATGGCACAAAAATGGTTGAGAACTCCTGAACTAGATTATGAAGGCTTTCAGCTCAGTCAATTAATAAACATTTATTGAACACCTGTTATGTGCCAGGCACTGTGCTGAGCACTGGGGATACAAAAAGAGGCAAAAAACAGTGCCTGCCCTCAAGGATCTTACAATCTAATGAGCTCCAGCTTTGTGATCCTATAGTTATGTATGTCTTTGTATAGATATAGCTAGAGAGTTGCTTGGGGGGGGGGGGGAATTAAGAGGTTGAGTGACTTGCCCAGGGTAACTTAGTAATATTTCAGAGGCCAGATTTGGACCCTGACTCCTGAGCTGTCCCTCTATCCAGTACGCTACACTATGTCTCATAGGGCTAATAATAGTAAACAAGCCAATATAGGAGACAAATTCATACAAGAGAGACTCGTCATGAGTACCCTAATTACCCTGATTTCCCTGCTCTCCTGAATCCTTGCTTTGGCCTGCTTTGAGGAAAGGAAAGCCCCATGGATAACCCTACCTCAGGCAACCAGTTCTATCCAGGCAGCAGACTAGTTGTCAATGGCCTTTAGCAGGGGTGGGGAACCTGCAGCCTGGCCGAGGCTACAGGTGGCCCTCTAGGTCCTTAAGTGCGGCCCTTTGACTGAATCCAAACTTCACAGAGCAAATCCCGTTAATAAAAGGATTTGTTTTGTGGAACTTGGACTCAGTGGAAAGGCCACACCCAAGGACCTAGAGGGCCATCAGTGGCCTTGAGGCCTGCAGGTTCCCCACCCCTGGCTTATAGTAAGTAAGGGTAGTATGGTTTTACCCTGGGGTAGAGGAGAAGAGCTGGAGCCTCTAGAACAGCCTGGAGACAGCCAGATCTCAGGTACCTTTGAATCAGGGGTGAGTTAGAGTCAATTAGAACTGGCTGGAAAGAGAATTGATGGCTAAATTTTCAGTGTCAGCTTTTACACCTCAGAAACCAGCAAACACTACAAATCAGGGCTTTTTATGTTATTTTGTATGTTGTCTTGATTTAAGAAAGTGATGAAGAAAATGTTAATAATGCAAATAAAGTTGAAAGTGTGTCATGTACGCACTTCCCCTCCCCCCCCAAGCCAATTGTTAAACATTTACCAGCAAACCCCTGCTTTGAATACACCAGTATAAGGTTAAACTGAGGGGATGATGGAATTCTTTTGGAATCAGAGACAGCAGTCATAGTTATTCACTAGTTGCTCTAGCTGTCCTTATTTGTAGATCACTACTCCTCTAGTGGGTGAAGAGGCCTGGTCTGACTATCCCACATCAGACTTTCCTCTAAAACCCTTCTCTGCTTGGTCCGTTCTTAATGAGATTTTTTTGAATCCAAACTTTGCAAGAATTGTTTTCAAGGGTCAGTGAATTACTGTAATCCTAAGCAGGGAGACAGTTCACAGTGTGTCATAGCTGCCAAAACATTGAATACCATCATAGGCTCCCACAATAAAAGCAGTGTCCATAATTAGGGCGACCCAATTGTATTTTGTTCTGGTCAGATCACATCTGTAATCTTGTGTCCATCTCCGGGTATCATATTTTTAGAAGGACATTGACAAGATAGTGTGAGAACTATTGACAAAGTGAAACGTGTCCAGAGGCGAGTGACCAGGATTTTGAAGAATTCAAAACCATAACAAAAACAAAACAAAACAAAAGAACTAGGGTATCTGGCCTGGAGAAGAAGAAACAAAGAAGAGACACAATCTTCAAGTACAAAAAGATCTGCCTCTCCGAAGAAAGGTTATGTGTGCTCTGCTTGGCCCCAGAGGTCAGAATTAGGGTAAGTCAATGAGTGGAAGCTTTAGGATGACAGACATGAGTTCAATGTAAGACAGGAAATGTTTCCTAAAAATTAGGGCCACCTCAAAGTAGGATGAGATACCCCAAGAGGCAGCCCATTCCCCGTTACTAAAGATGTCCAAGTACAGACTAGATGACCACTTGTTGGGAATGTTAAAGACAGGATTCCTACTTCAGGTATGTAGTGGACTCAATGACCTTTGAGGCCTCTCTTAGCTCTGAGAGCTTATGAGAAAGAGAAAGAGAGAGAGAGAGAGAGAGAGAGAGAGAGACAGACAGAGAAAGAGAGAGACAGGGAGAGAGAGAGAGACAGACAGAGGAAAAGAGGGGAAGAGGGGAAGAGAAAGGAAGGATAGAAAGATAGATGGTAGATAATAAAGAGATGATAGACCATTTATTAAGCACTTAACTATGTGTGCAGCTATGAAAAGTAATGGGTATACAAATATGTGTTTAAAAAAACAGTTATCATCAATGAACTTACATTCTAATAGAGAAAGATAATACATAAAGGGGATCTGGGGAGCAGGGGGGATATGGGAAGGGAGGATGGAGTGCTCAAGGTGGCTCGTGAATAGGTGGGAAAGCCCAGATATGTCTGTGGGTTGTCAGGAATGCTGTGACCATGGCTGGGGTCCCTCATAAGATGGTGGTCTGGGCAAAGGGGTCACCAGGTGGAAGGGCAAGGCCTCGGGGTGGTTCTCCAGGGGAGTTAAGGGGGAAGTAGATGTCCCAAGGGTCAATTTGCCTTGTAGTTTTTCTGTTCCCACTAAAGCTTTCTCTCTGCCCCCCCGCCCCCCAATCCTGTTGGCCGTCTGAGATAGGAGTGATATCCTAACCTCTACCCCTAAACGAGTTCTATGCCCAGAAAGGGAAACAAAGGCAGAAAGTGGCCAGGAATTTGAAGTCCAAGAACTCACCTTTCAAGCCACCTGGACAAGGATATGAAGCTGGGCATGTGCTTCCTGCTCTTGGGGTGGAGGTGGAGAGAGACACCCCCAATTCTCTACTCTAGAAGAGAGGCACAAGAGAAAAGGCAAAAAAGGATGAAAACCATCTAGCAGTTAGGTGACACAATGAATAGAAATGTTGCACCTGGAATCAGGAAGCCCTGAGTCCCAATCCTGCCTCAAATACTAGCTGTGTGACTCTGGCTAAGTATTTAACTTCGTTCAGCCTCAGTTTCCTCATCTATAAAATGAGGATAATAATACCACCTCTCACAAGGTTGTGGGAGAATCAAATGAGATAACACAGATAAAATTCTTTGCAAACTTTACAATTCTGGATAAATATTAGCTATTAGTGGGGTGACTCCTCTGACGAGAGTTCATTCTTCCCAGAGCCCTAACTCACCAGATCATCTTGGAGACAGCTCTAGCACTTGAAGCTTAATTGGGACAAGTCCCTTGTTCTCCCAACAAGGTACCAGTGGTCCATTAGTACTTGAAGATAATGTTTGCAAAGCGCTTAGCACAATGCCTAGCATGTAAAAGGCATTTAATAAATGTTTATCCTTTCCTCTCTCTATGGGGTGGTGCCAGTAGATGCCCCAAAGGTTCATTATCCTGTAAGTTCATCAAATCAAATGGGGGAGCTTGTCCACCATCCCCTGATATTGGTATCTTCCCCATCTCATATCCCTGGGAGGGTGCCCTCATCACTTCCCACCATAGAACCAACTCATATATAATGAATTCAAGATCGGTTCCTGTAAAAATCCAGGATACATCTGGGCCACCTTCCATTGGTAAGCAATGAGTGCTTAAGGACTTAAAATTCATTTTACGGTTTCCGTGTGAAGGAATTGGTGCAACTTTGTGAAGTATTTTTTTGCCCACATGCAAGGACATTCTGGGTCCCCAGAGAACCATGATTCTTCTAGCATGACGGAGTGCGGCTTGGAGCTGTTGCTAAGAAAGGAATCTTAGCAAAGAGGAATTTTAACATGGCATTCCCAGCTCCAGATGTTCCGACTCCTGCGTTTCTGCTAGCACATTTGTAGACATGGATTGTCTACTTGGACTTCAACTGGGTCCCTCTGGCTTTCAGCCTTCCTTGAATCCTCTGTCTATTTCTCTGAGATAGTGGGAAAAGACCAGCTGGGGTTCCTTATTTAATGCCTTAATCCTGGTTCTTCCTCATCTTATTTAGTCCAGGGTTGAAAATATAAATGTTATAACTTATTTTGATTGCATTTCTGCCCTGACACTCTCTCCCTGGATTCCCACTTTGATCTCATCTCTGTTTCTACTTGTGTGACCCATAAGGGCTACCCACTGTTATAGATTACAGAATTGAAAAGAAAAGATACTACATTAAACTTTAGAGTGGCTGAGTATAATGTTCTCTGGTAAAAGTCTGGAATCTCCACTTTCCAACTACTAAGGGCTGAGTTCCTAATTTTGATTTGTCCGAGGGAACAGGTAAACTGAGGGGCCGTTTGTGAAGGACTATCAGAGATCCCCCATATCAAAGCCACAAAGAGAGGGAAGGGGGCAGCCTCATTATTTGATGAATAATGGTTCACCCACTCCTTCCTGTAGACACTGAGGCAGCTGCTTCTTAGCCAATCACTAATCTGAATGGTCACTGAAAAGTCTCTCTAATGTCTCTGCTGCTACCCTGCGCTGCCTGGGTCCCACAAACTCATATTTCACGCTCACTTTCTTTTTATTTATTTATTTTATTATTATTATTTTTTTTAGGCACTTGGGGTTAAGTGACTTGCCCAGGGTCACACAGCTATAAGTGTCAAGTGTC